ATAGGATCATCTCAATAGATGCAGAATAACATTCGACAAAATTCAACACCCATTTATGATAAAAAACCCTCCAGAAAGAAGGCATAGAGGGAACTTACCTCAACATAATAAAGGCCATATATGACAAACCCAGAGCCAACATCACTCTCAATGGTGAAAAACTGAAAGCATTTCCTCTAAGATCAGGAACAAGACAAGGTTGTCCACTCTCACCACTGTTATTCAACACAGTTTTGGAATTTTTAACCACAGCAATCAGAGAAGAAAAAGAAATAAAAGGAATCCAAATTAGAAAAGAAGAAGTGAAGCTGTCACTGTTTGCAGATGACATGATACTGTACATAGAGAATCCTAAAGATGCTACCAGAAAACTACTAGATCTAATCAATGAATCTGGTAAAGTAGCAGGATACAAAATTAATGCACAGAAATCTCTTGCATTCCTATACACTAAAGATGAAAAATCTGAAAGAGAAATCAAGGAAACACTCCCATTTACCACTGCAACAAAAAGAATAAAATACCTAGGAATGAACCTACCTAAGGAGACAAAAAGACCTGTATGCAGAAAACTATAAAACAATGATGAAAGAAATTAAAGATGATACAAACAGATGGAGTGATATACCATGTTCTTGGATTGGAAGAATCAACACTGTGAAAATGACTATACTACCCAAAGCAATCTACAGATGCAATGCAATCCCTATCAAACTATCACTGGCATTTTTCACAGAACTAGAACAAAAAATTTCACAATTCGTATGCAAACACAAAAGACCCCGAAGAGCCAAAGCAATCTTGAGAAAGAAAAACAGAGCTGGAGGAATCAGGCTCCTCGACTTCAGACTATACTAGAAAGCTACAGTAATCAAGACAGTATGGTACTGGCACAAAAACAGAAATATAGATCAACGGAACAGGATAGAAAGCCCAAAGATAAACCCATACACATATGGTCACCTTATTTTTGATAAAGGAGGCAAGAATATACAATAGAGAAAAGACAGCCTCTTCAATAAGTGGTGCTGGGAAAACTGGAGAGCTACATGTAAAAGAATGAAATTAGAACATTCCCTAACACCATACACAAAAATAAACTCAAAATGGATTAAAGACCTAAATGTAAGGCCAGAAACTATAATACTCTTAGAGGAAAACATAGGCAGAATGCTGTATGACATAAATCACAGCAATATCCTTTTTGACCCACCTCCTAGAGAAATGGAAATAAAAGCAAAAATAAACAAATGGGACCTAATGAAACTTAAAATCTTTTGCACAGCAAAGGAAAACATAAACAAGACGAAAAGACAACCCTCAGAATGGGAGAAAGTATTTGCAAATGAAGCAACTGACAAAGGATTAATCTCCAAAACATACAAGCAGCTCATGCAGCTCAATATTAATAAAACAAACAACGCAATCCAAAAATGGGCAGAAGACCTAAACAGACATTTCTCCAAAGAAGATATACAGATTGCCAACAAACACATGAAAGGATGCTCAACATCACTAATCATTAGAGAAATGCAAATCAAAACTACAATGACGTATCATCTCACACCAGTCAGAATGGCCATCATCAAAACATCCACAAACAAAAAATGCTGGAGAGGGTGTGGCGAAAGGGAACCCTCTTGCACTGCTGGTGGGAATGTAAATTGATACAGCCGCTATGGAGAACAGTATGGAGGTTCCTTACAAAACTAAAAATAGAACTACCATACGACCCAGCAATCCCACTACTGGGCATATACCTGGAGAAAAGCATAATTCAAAGAGTCATGTACCACAATGTTCATTGCAGCACTATTTACAATAGCCAGGACAATGGAAGCAACCTAAGTGTCCATCGACAGATGAATGGGTAAAGAAGATGTGGCACATATATACAATGGAATATTACTCAGCTGTAAAAAACAGAATTGAGTTATTTATAGTGAGGTGGATGGACCTAGAGTCTGTCATACAGAGTGAAGTAAGTCAGAAAGAGAAAAACAAATACCGTATGCTAACACATATATATGGAATCTAAAAAAAAAATGGTTCTGAAGAATCTAGGGGCAGGACAGGAATAAAGACGCAGACATAGAGAATGGACTTGAGGACACGGGGTGGGAGAAGGGTAAGCTGGGACGAAGTGAGAGAGTGGCAAGGACACATATACACTACCAAATGTAAAATAGATAGCTAGTGGGAAGCAGCCGCATAGCACAGGGAGATCAGCTCGGTGCTTTGTGACCACCTAGAGGGGTGGGATAGGGAGGGTGGAAGGGAGGCACAAGAGGGAGGAGATATGGGGATATATGTATATGTATAGCTGATTCACTTTGTTATAAAGCAGAAACTAACACAGCATTGTAAAGCAATTATACTCCAATAAAGATGTTAAAAACAAAACCCAAAAAACAGGCCAACTGCTTTTGGACGATTTTGAATAAAATATCTATCCACACAAGGTAGCATTCTATCTCATATCATAGCCCAAATCTCAATTTTTGAAGTCATCCTCATACACCTGAAATGTAGGTTTTTTCTTACTACCTGCCATCATCTTAACTGCTCCCCAAACGGCCAGGGGACTGGACAGCCACTGAACTTGAGCTAGGATCAAAGTTAAAAGCAGAGGTTTGGGAGTCAGAATGACTTTAGTTTGTCGCCTACCCTGCAAGGGGTGTCATTTTCTTTTACACAGGAGGAAATTGCAGCTCAGCGTGGTATAGTTATTTGCCCAATGTCACACAGCCAGCAGACTGACATCTATTCCACAAACATGAAATTTGGCTCTAATTCAGAAATCCCAGGGCCAGCTGCATGTCATCATGAGGCTTCCATTTCCTGTTTCGAACCTCCATGATAAGGGAGGGGAGAGCTTGTGAAGGATTAATACAGCATTGGAAATGATGCTGATGGCTTAGGGCATGATTGTAACCTGGGGAGGAGGGAGAATATAGTCCTCAGAGACCATAAGATAGAGTGGAAAGTGCACGGAGCCGGACATGCCCCCTCTCTCACAACCCTAGTTGTGTACGTGGGCAGTTCTTCCTACCTCTCTGTGCCTCACTTCCCCCAAATGTAATAATAAGCGGCAGCATTTACGAGTACACAGGGCACAGTGCTTTCCAATACCTTTATCTCATTTTCTCCTTTCAACAACCCTGAGATTTTTATCCCCATTGCACAGATGAGTAAGGTGAGGCTCAAAAAGTTTGTTTCAATTGCCCAGGGTCACAGAACTAGAAATAGTGCAGCTGGGATTTGAATGCTAGTCTGTCTGGTTGCAAGTTTTTCCAGTGCAAAATATTCCTCACTGGAGTCTACATCCTCTCTGCGGTGAGTCTGCAAATGAGGAGGATGTACATGGATGCTCTATAATTCTAGAATCAGAGCTAACTCAGGTTGCACTCTTAGCATGTGCTCGGCACTGTGCAAAGCCAGTCCTGCCAAATGACCTTACCAACGGGGGGTGTGGTGGTGGGGGGTGGGGGCTAATAACATCCTCTTTCTGCAGATTTGGAAACTGAGGTTCATAGACTTTACGAAACTTGTCCAAGGTCACTCATCTACTAAGAGGCAAGGGTAGGCTTTGAATTCAGGTCAAACTCACTCCCAAGCCCATGATCTTAATAGAGTTTATCGTTCAACCCAGGACACTTTGGCCCTATTAATAATTACGCCAGGATAGCAGGCAGAAACAGGGATGTGTGGTCATCCCAGCTCCTGGCCACTGTGCTCTCCGCATCCCTCAGGACCACCATGAATCATGATGACATGGAGAGGAAATCTACTACAGCTGGCAGCACCACCATTCTAACCATTACAATGAGCACTTACATTGATCTTAGGAAGCATTTTGGGAAAGAGGTCGAGTCCTGTGGAAATAAGGCATTTGGGGTTTGGTGCTTGAGATTTTTGGAAGGGGGGGCCTCTAGAGCTGCTACAAGAAGTAGTCAAAGACCAGCTGGCACCCTCCCCTGACAGACCCCCGTTTCCCTTAACTCTCTGACTGCAGGCACTGGGTGAAAAAGAGAGGTTAAAAGAGTGCTCCAAGGAAATGGAGATGATAAACGACTTTAGATTTGCTATGATAAGAAGACCAAGGAATTTCTTAGATTCAGAAAAGAGACCAGACCATCATCAGGCTAATGCTTGAAACCACAGATACCTCTAACTCAAGGCTAGTATCACATGGGGTCAGTGCTTGGAGCTGTCTCCACTGGACACTTGGAGGCATGCTGGGGAGAATTTTCTGCATCAGAATTCCCAGAATTCTACCCTAAAGGCCTTACCTCTTTGGGTAAACATTTCATTCCTCTAGGAGTCCAGTTTTAAAAATAAACAACCTTAGAACCATTTGAGTTCATTATCAGTCATAAACATGGTGGAACTTATTACATACCAGATTTCCTTTTGAATTTGACTGTTGGCTGGGACGTAAGAAAGGTAAGTTGTGATAGAGAAATGGGCACAGGGGAAGCTTTAGGACATGGGATTTTGCCAAAGGAGTTTACCTTAGTGTGGGGTCCTGGGCAGCCAGGAGGCAGCAAAAAAGGTTTTGACTAAGTGGTGCTCAGCAAAGCAAGAGTGTTGGGGGAGAAGATGGCACTAGAGGGGTAAAGTCTATCACTGCAGCCTTGACCACGCAAAGCTCCAGGGCAATGAATCCACAGAGAATGGCGAGGTCATGGGAGTCAAAGTGGTAAAAGGCAAAGAGGCCAGGGAACTCGGACCCTGGGTGGCGGGGGAGACTGCTAATGTGGGACGCCAGGAAAGTTAGTCACCCTGTGATGGCTCATCTACCAGGCATGAAGCTTGGCTGAAAATGAAATAATCTCTGCGGTCTTTCAGCTTTAATACTAAATGCGATTCTAGATGGCGTGACTAAGTGAATCTTGCTGTGCCTAAGTGGGTGGCTTAGAGCTAAGAGGCTCTTGACTGGAGTGCAGGCATGACCCAAACCACGAATCTCTCCCCTCCACGTTATCCCTTCTCCTCACCTTAATTCTCTTGATGACCAAGGGAGCTTTTAACTTCTCCTTGTCCTAGTCTTCTTTTCAAGCTATGGGGAGAGGGCAGAAAAGAAGGGCCAGTAAGAGGGAAGGGTGGCTGGGCAAAGGCTTCTGATGGGCCCTATCTGCCAGGGTCCCACCTTGGCTAAGAGGGAACTGAGAAAAGTCAAGATCCTTGACTACCAACTGCAGCAAAGAGAAAACCTTACCTGGAGATGGCCCAGGGACTGACCACAAAGTCTGGGAAAACACACTGGAAAATGTCAGCTAAGACATTTAGCTTCTCAGTGCTTTGCTTTTTCATCTTTAATGAGGAGTCAGGGGCGGAGTAATGTTTAATGGACATCTACTCTCACAGGGACTGGCTGGGTGCTTTACGTGTTATCCCATTTAATCCTCACAACGACCCTTCAAGGGAAATATTATCTTCATTTTACAGAGGAAGAAACAGCAGCTTAGGGCAGATAAATCATTTGCCCAAGTTTATACAGCTGAGAAGTAGCAGAGCTGGGATGCACACCAGGTCTAAGGTCCAAGGCTGGTCCACCAGGATGATTTCACTGTCCCTTCAGGTCACCGAACAGGCTCTGGTGTAGGAGGGGGAGGGGGCAGACAGCCTGAGCCCAAATCTCATTTACAAGCCTGTCATTTAGGGCAAGTTACTTAACCTCTCTGAGCCTTAGTTTCCTCATCTATATACTGGAGGATTAGGATAGTTCATACCTCTTAGATTTGTTGTAAGGATTAAATGAGATGAAGTGTGTAATGGGTTTACTGGCCTGAGGCAAATGCTACATAATTTTTAGCTATTATTATTATTAATATTGTCCTTAAATTGTATGCAAACCAACACATAAATAAATCTGTGGTTCACTCGGATTCTACGCTGGGTGGGATCTTCTGATAAATCCCTGCTGGATTCAAGTGCCATATGTGAAAGCAGCCCCATCCACACGCAAAAAAAACACAAACATTTTGATGTTTAGATGGTTCACAAGGAGCTTTCACAATATTTCAACTAACATTTCAGCACAACTAATCCATGAGGTAGGGAACACAGATAAGGTAAGACTTGAGTCACACAGCTGGAGGTGAAACTAAAGCTTTTTTTTTTTTAACTCCTAAGCCCAGAGCTTTTATATGCTATGTCATGGAGAATGCAAACGAATTCTCTTAGAGCCTTCAGGTATATGCATGCATGTACATCTGGACAGATAGATGGCTATATTGATGAGGAAGGAGGAAAGAGTGAGCCCTGGAACATCCCAGATCCAGGGAGGGATACATTCAAGCTAGGCTCACCTCTCCCCTCTGAGAATTTGGCTTCTGGATTTAAACTTGGAGTCACTACCCCACTCTGTGTAATTCTGCCTCTCGGCTGTGTCTACCTGGACCAGGCCAGGTTCACTCCTTCCCCTCAGCCTTTCCCCAGGACCTGGTATCCATCAAACCCCACTGGGGACTTGTTCAAATGTTTTCACCCTGATATGCCGCCTTCCAAAAGCTTACTGGATATGGACTGCGGCGGATCTACAGGAGCAGCTTGGCTTGGTGTTGGGCACGAGGCTTTAGGAGGCAATAACAAACATGTTTCCATGTCCCAGCTGGGCCTGCTTGGCCACCCAGGTATTTCCCTCCCAGGGTCTGTGTTAAGCCCTTGGCTGTGGGAGGCAGAGCAGCAGCGAGCCTTCCTGTCCGTTCTGCAGCGCCACAGCGGCCCCTCGTGGCTATCAACAGAACTAAGGCACTCCTGTCTGGTCGGGTTTTCTGCCTTTTTTTCCGTTTAGATGTATTGAGACCTACTGCGTGTCAGCCACGGTTCTAGACACCCTGGACATATCAGTGAACAAAACAAAGTCCTCTCCCTCATAAGGTTTAAGCTTTCTTGTGTGAGTTGGGGGTGGGAGACAGAAAATATACGTGCATATATGTGTAAATGTATGTTGGATGTTCAGAAGAACTATACGAAAAATAAAGCAGGGAGGAGGGTTAGGGAGGGGGAGGAGGATAGCCCTTTTCAATAAGGTACAAAGCCTCACTGATATGGTGACATCTAAGAGGGACTTGAGAGAGATGAGGGAGGGAATCCAGGTACATGCAACATCAAGGATTAAAGGCCTTGAAGTGAGAAAGCACCTGGCCGTTTTAGGAATAACAAGGTGGCCAGTTTGGCTGGAACAGACTGAGTGGGGGAAGAGCAGCAGGAGATGCTGTCTGAGAGGTGTGGGACCAGATCCCACAAGGTACTGGGCCTCCAAGTGTGGCCCCTCCCCATCCCCCCTCCCCCGCCCAGCAGCATCAGCGTCACCTGGGAACTTGCGAGAAATGCAAATCATAGGGCCCCGCCCCAGACCTACTGAGTCAGAAACTCTGCGCACGGGTTCCAGCAGTCTGTGTTTGAACAAGCCTTCCGGCTGAGCCAGATGCTGTCGCAGTGTGAGAACCACTGATGCGAGGCCAACTGGGCCATCTCAGGAACTCTTTTACTCTGAGATGAGAAGCCATTAGAAGTTTTGGGGCAGAGGAGTGACATGATCTGACATAAAAGAACAAAACCACACTTGTGCCCTCTGGTCCTGCCCCCAGAGGTTCTAATTTGATTAGAGTGATATGGGCTGGGCATTGACATTTCTGAAACTTTTCCAGGTGATTCTAATGTGCAGTCAAGACTGAGGTCCCTCTGGCTTCTGGGTCGAGAATAGGCTGCAGGGGGTCAAGGGAAGACGCAGGAAGCTAAGCTGGGAGGCTACTGATGTAATACGGCTGAGTTGGGAGGGTATTGCTGTAATACAGGCGAGGAATGAAGGGAGCTTAGACCAGAGCAGCAGCAGTGGAGGAAATAGATCCAGATTCTGGATCTATTCTGAAGGTCGAACTATCAAGACTTTCTCATAGATTTGATACAGGGTGTAAGAGAAAGTGAAAAGTCAGGATGACTCTCAGGTTTTTACCCTGAGCAACTGGAAGGACGCAGTTTCCATGTGCTGGAAGGACACGGTTTCCATTTGCTAAGGTGGGGCAGACGAAGTGAGGAAGAGGTTTCCCCGTGGAGGGGGATCAGGAATCTGATTTTGAACATGCTGATTTGGAAATGTCTATGTGAGATTCAAATGGAGATGCTGACTCGGTTCAGGGGAGATGTCCGGGCTGGACATCTAAGTGTGTGAGCTGTCGGTGATGGTGTTTAAGGTACAAAGGCTGGCTGAGATTACTTAGGGAGGGAGCGTAGATGGAAAAGAGAAGTTCAGAGGAGACCTAGGGGCGCTCCAATGTCAGAAGGAAGTAGGAAGAGAACCAAGAGCCAGTGGTGTCCCAAGAACCCAAGTGGTAAAGTGTTTCAAGAGAAAGGTGCTGCTCAACTGTCACAAACGGCTGACCAGGCAAGTAATGTGAGGATTGAGAATGACCTCCGGGTTTAGCAGCACTGAGGTCACGGGGGACCACACCGACTGAGAACAGTGTCAGTGGAGGGGTTGGGAGAAGGGCAGAGGCCTGTTTGTGGAATGGGAGGAGAGGAACTGGAGACACAGGACCAACAATTCCTTTATGAAATTTTGCTGTAAAGGGAAGGTGTTGGAGGAAGATACAGTCTAGAAAGGTCTTTTTTTTTTTAATATGAGAGAAGTAACAACATGTTTCTATCTTTGTTGGGAAAGCTCCTCCAGCTCAGGGAAAGATTAGTAGATATTTTAATAGCAACAACATACATTAAGCACATTTTTATGCTCCTGGCACTGTTTAATGTTGCACATGAATTATTCTCCTCACAACATAACATTTTCTCCTCACCACAATCCTATGAGACGTTTCTATTATTATCCCCAATTTACAGCCAAGGAGTCTGAGCTCTGAGAAACGAACTAATGTTCCCAAAGACACACAGCCAGTAAGAGGGAAGAGCAGAGGTTCCATCCTGGAATTGCCTCCAGAGCTAGAGCCCTTGACCCCTGCTCTGCAAGGCCCAGCTGTTGACCTTCCTGCATGTGGGCCACCCTATAAAATCCCTGCATTTTGGGTGCTCAACTAGAAGGGAAGAAATGACTCAAAACGGTACCAAAGAAACCAACAATTAATTAGAAGTAATCATGCCTACAGCGCTGTTATAAAGTCTCCCAGGTATAACTGGGAGGAAAGCTTTCAGTTATCGTTCCCTTTACACTGTCACGCCCAACACGATGTTGCTGTTTACTGCCTGGAACGTCCTGGGCGCACAAGCTGGCTTTGCTCGTCCTGTTGTACCTGTCTGCAAGGCACAGTCTCACAGGTTCCATTAAACACGTTTCTGTTCTTTGTGCCAGCCTTGATGCTCAGATGTACTGCCTACCTCTTCCTCATAGAGCACCCCTCTGCACTAGGCTGGGTGACCTCCCCAGCTCAGTGTCCACTGGTGGACACTGCTGTAACAGTCCATATCCTTGGTAGAAGCAAAAGGAAATAGTATCTGTATTGGGTTGAACAGTGTCCCCCCCACCAAAGTTTATGTCTACTTGGAACCTTAGGAACGTGAGTTTATTTGGAAATAGTCTTTGAAGGTGTAACTAGTTGAGTTCATGCTAGATTAGGCTGAGCCCTACTCCACTGACTGTTGTCCTTATAAGAAGAGAAAACAGAGACACAGACCCTCAGGGAGAAGGCCATGTGATGACTGAGGCAGAGATTGCAGTGATGCAGCTACAAGCCCAGGAACACTGAGGATTGCTGGCAACACCAGAAGCTGGGAAGAAGCAAGGAAGGATTCTTCCATAGATCCTTCAGAGACAGCATGGCCCTGATGACCTTGATTTCAGACTTGAGTTTCCAGAACTGTGAGAGAATAAATTCCTGTTGTCTTAAGCCACCACATTTGTGGTAATTTGTCGTGGCAGCTTGAGGAAACTAATACAGTACCCATTGGTCAAAACTTGGCAGTACTCCTGTGAAGGATTATGTGGTGTCCCCACGTGCTATGCAATTAGTGCAGCACTGCATTGATATCACCATTAAGAATGCATTAAGGAGAGGCACAGAATGATACATCTGGGAGGATCCTTGGAGACAATGTAGTTCAGCCAGCTTCTTTGAAAGATGTGGAAGATAAAGTCCAAGAAGGGCAAGAGGATTGTCCAAGGTCACATGGCTATTTAATTGCTGGGCTCATATCTGTTTGGTTTACATTGCATCCCCTGTAACCTAGAACCCTGCCTTGTACCTAGCAGGTGCTCAATAAACATTTGTTGAATGAATGAATGGAACCCAAATGCCTGATCATGTTCTCATGTTCTCAAGATCAAAATCAACACTACTTTGTTTAAATTGGCAATTCTTTTTCCCAAAATGCTAAGATTAATACCTACCAGCTATGAATTGATTTTTATTGTTGAAAATGTCAAGGCTTCTTGGAGATCCAGCCAGAGAAAATTTCT